TTCGCTATTTGGCTTTACTTCGTAGAACAGTTTTCACAGTTCGGTGTTGCTTGAATTTGTTATTTTGCACTCATTAAAAATCGTTTTGTTTCTAGGATCACCGGATTTATTTTCTGGGCAATCATGTCTCTGAAGTTGACTGAGTAAGTACCTCTCATTTATGATTTTAACAAATATGGGCGTTTCTTTAGTGTACTGTACTGCCATACTTCAATCACTTACCTGAAAAAGACCGTAATATGATTTATTACAAATGTCCGTTGATTCTTTGTTTATTTATCGAGTGGCTTCGAAAAGGACCGTAATTACAGATTGCTCCCTGCCCCTTCCGCTATAACTGACGAGTATTCCCAAGTATGTTTCCTTTTTTTTCTTTCAATGAACTTTTTTCCTTCTACTGAACTTCACTTGACTTTGAATTTTTAAGTACTAGTCTTCGGGCATATAATTCTGCTTTAAAGGTTCGTCGAGATCCATGGTTTCGTGGACGAGAAGACGCACTGCCCACTTCTACAGCCATTGTTGTAAAGGAACCGCCTCCTTATGGACGTCGTCAAGGGTTCAGACCACGTAATGTTGAGGTAATATTATGGATATCCTGAAGGTGATGATCTCATCAGTAATAAGTAGTGTTGACTACATGGATTTTGAGCATTCCGAAGTCTATATACCTTTGAGCGCTTATGCCACTGTTATGAACACTTGCCATCAGAGCAGGTTCAACCCATGCTGAACTCGTACTGTTTATCTCATTCTTTTATTCTTTTGGTGGTGATCTATGGTCCATAAGTAAGAATTTTCCTGGTAGCGGGATCAGAAAACGTACAATGGCAGTTTCAAAACATAAAAAATGACTTACATTGAGTAATGAGAACATCTCTTTTCTCTCATCGTAGTTGAGTAGGTACGCATGTTCACAGGGAACTTCTTACTAGGGGCTTGTTGAGATGTAACAAAGGAAGCTTCATGTTATGTTGTTTAATCAGAGAAACAAATGCTATTAGGTT